GACTTGTACTACAAAGTTGCGATTTTCGAGCTTGCGGATTTTCGAGCTGGAGATGCGGAAGTGTACTTCTCGTACTAGACTTGTACTACAAAGTTGCGATTTTCGAGCTGGAGATGCGGAAGTGTACTTCGCGTACTAGACTTGTACTACAAAGTTGCGATTTTCGAGCTGGAGCTGCGGAAGTGTACTTCGCGTACTAGACTTGTACTACAAAGTTGCGATTTTCGAGCTGGAGCGCTGCGGAAGTGTACTTCTCGTACTAGACTTGTACTACAAAGTTGCGATTTTCGAGCTGGAGATGCGGAAGTGTACTTCGCTTACTAGAGTGTACCACAAAGTTGCGATTTTTGAGCGTACTTCGCTTACTAGACTTGTACTACAAAGTTCGATTTTCGAGCTGGAGATGCGGAAGTGTACTAAGTGTACTTCGCGTACTAGACTTGTACTACAAAGTTGCGATTTTCGAGCTGGAGCTGCGGAAGTGTACTTCGCAGTGAAAGTTTCGATTTTCGAGCTGGAGGTGCGCAAGTGTATTTCGCGTACTTGACTTGTACTACAAAGTTGCGATTTTCGAGCTGGAGCTGCGGAAGTGTACTTCGCGTACTAGACTTGCACTACAAAGCTTCGATTTTCGAGCTGGAGATGCGGAAGTGTACTTCGCTTACTAGACTGGTACTACAAAGTTGCGATTTTCGAGCTGGAGCTGCGGAAGTGTACTTCGCGTACTAGACTTGTACTACAAAGTTGCGATTTTCGAGCTGGAGCTGCGGAAGTGTACTTCGCGTACTAGACTTGTACTACAAAGTTGCGATTTTCGTGCTGGAGATGCGGAAGTGTACTTCTCGTACTAGACTTGTACTACAAAGTTGCGATTTTCGAGCTGGAGATGCGCAAGTGTACTTCGCGTACTAGACTTGTGCTACAAAGCTGCGATTTTCGAGCTGGAGATGCGGACGTGTACTTCTCGTACTAGACTTGTACTACAAAGTTGCGAATTTCGAGCTGGAGATGCGGAAGTGTGCCTCGCGTACTAGACTTGTACTACAAAGTTGCGATTTTCGAGCCGGATCTGCGAAAGTTTGAAAACACTGTAAAACGATAAGGTCTCCCCCAAAAACGATAACGTTCAAAAAAGTACTAGGGCCAAGCAAAGTGTTTCGTCCGCTCCTCATATATATATATATATACACAATAGTGGTATGAAACCTGTTTAGACAAGGGGCTGGCCCAACATTGTTCGGGCCAGGCTGACTATTAGAATCCGAAACCTGGATAGGGGGGTGATTAAATCTGGGGAAACCATTGGATGAGCTAAGGGGATGTTTAGGATCCAATATTTGGCTTGCACAGAGGGCATCGAACTGGCGATGGTTTTCCTGTCCTGTGAAACCAACCCCAAAAAGGGTACCCTCAAAACACCAATGCCTGTTGATCAACCGGAGGTTTCTTGTGTGCGGATGTGAGACTCTTCAATGTGCCCCCCCCCCCTGCCCAAGGGTAAGGCTTGAGGCTTGGGCCAATGAACTGAGTCTTGCCAACACTTGTGGTTTCATTTTGCCAGTCCGCAGAGCTGGTGGCTGGTATTTCAATCTGCCCACTGTAAACACCATGGTCTAAGCCTTTGACTTGGGAAGGGCCTAAGCTGAGCAGCCGCTAGGATTATGATTTGGTCCCTCCCTCCAAAAAAGAAAGGACGGAAAGAAGTTGATATTCAAGAGAATCCCAAAGCAGTGCCATAGAAGTGGGGCTGTTGCGGGCTCTGTTTCCCCCTGGGTCTTGACAAGATTCATGTACAGAATGAGATGGTTTTGGTGCCAGGATTTCAAAGGTGTAAGCCTTCGAGTTGAGAAGGGCCAAGCGTATGAAATGACGCAGAAAGAGAGTTGGGTTGATATTTGGCCGCGGGGAATCGACTTTCTATAATTGCGCCAAGAAACAGTCGCAACTTTCTATATGTGCGATCCCAGTGGTAAAGCAGGTCCAACATTCATATTTGGTCGGATCTTTGACCAGCTGTTAGGGGAAGTGTGCATTTGTCCACCAACCCGCAGGGGGACAATAGCCACCACGGTTGATGAATCCTGGGTGTGCATTGCAGCTGAAAGGTCCAAACACCCAAGACGGACTGCCAGGGAGCGTGGATGCCTGCCTTTTCCTTTTGGGTTTTGAGCTTTCCGATCCTGCGGTAAACCGAGCTTCTGATTTGAGGGCGTTTTTTTTTGAGCGCTCCCCCAGAATTGGAGTGGTTTGGAAGGTAAACCAAACGGGGAGAAGACTACATGCATTCTTATTCCTCGAGTCACTCCCCTGCACTTCAGATGCTTGTAAAACCAAACTTGTTTGTAGAGGAATCAAATAAAAAGAACCTGCCTGCGGGGGAGCATCTGCTTTAAGACTACCTGCTTGCTGCATGCCCCATGTTGCAGGTTCCCTTTCCGGTGCATTTTTGTCTGCCCAAGTCGCCCTTTGTGACCGAACAACCATTCAACCATTTACTTGTATGTTTTTGAGGGTAATTACTCTTCTCACCTTGGTTTCAAAGGGAAGGTAAAAGGAACCCGCCGTTTTGTGGGTCCCTCTGTGTGTACACCGCCTTCGGACATGTCTCCCGAGCAAGCGGACCCGTGGCAGGGGTCCTTTGGACCAACCAGCCACGTGCAAACCGCAGTGAGCGGGAAGTCTAGACCTGTACATATCGGAATCGTAGCTCTTGAGTTGGCAAACTTGAAATTTGTTGGGTCTCTTCAGATGCCAAAGTCGCGAGAGCGAGCGGGTGCGGACAGGAAAACTCGAGAAGTTCTTTTCGTTATGACCCCTAGGGGTTTATGACCCCAGTTGATGGTCTTGGAGACTGCAGGAACAAGGCTCCGAGCCTGAACAGTTTCATGTGTCACCAGCTTGCTCCGGGCGGAGTAGAACTTTGGTCCCTACCTGCGGATTTTCAGGGTGTTGGGAATGAACCTTGGGACACCTTGAACAAAATCAGGTGATGCTTCAGAGGTGTGATTGTGTGCTTCGGTGTCATTCCCTCATTTCGGAAAAGATGTTGAGCAAGCAAAGGCCACTAAAGGCAAGGCCATTTTGGCGCGATATTGACCCTTCGGTGGGGAGCCCCATGACAAGCCAACGGCGGCTTTTCCCGAGGGACCACAAAAAACGAGTAGCCAGCGATGCCTCTGCTCCCCTCTGTCAATCAAAGTCGATTTCGTCCAAAAATTCAGAAAGATATCAACTAGCACTTTGCCGGGTCGAGAATGGCAGGGGCTCTTGCCTAAACTATCTCATTTCCAAGCAAGTTGTAAAGAACTACCCTGTGTCGATTTCTCTCGTCCATTTCGGGGGTGGATCGCGATCGCTTTTGGCGATGGGCCCGAAATTTGTTTGGGTTCGTTTTCTTGCCGCGTACAAAGCTGCTCCGGAGCGGGGCAGCTAAATGTCTGTTCAGCACCCTTGATATCCTTAGGTTGGTGAGTTCCTTACTAAAAACGGCCACTCCAAAAAGGCTCCCCTTGCTCCAAAGGATACAAAGCCCTTTGGGGTAGCTCGAGGGCATACAGCTCTCGTAACTCAAGGACAGATCAATCCAAACAGGGAACACTGTGTATGTATTTTTCCTAGTTGGGCACTGCTTGTTTGAACATAGCCAGATCCTGGTCCGTTTTGAAGGAGAAACCCAACGGACATTTTGGACAGAAGTTATTTCATTCTGTTTAAACAAGGGGACAGCCCATGGACGCTTCTGGAGGTCGGGGCTTGCTTGGCCAGTAATATTGACCTCTGATGAAGAACCCCGTCCAGTTCTGATTTAATGGGTTCCTTTGTTGCTAAAGGAGAGGACTCCAACCGCTAAAGGATATTAGCTTGAGGCGGGAAGCGCAGCTCACCTGATGTTCCTGTGTTTAGACCAGAACAGAAGCTAGTTCATTATGCAATTGGTGCCCCATCTTTGTTTGGGTGTTGTGTTGGAGGCAGGGGAGCAGTCCCCTTTTGGTCGGTTTACAGCGAAACCAGAAGGACACGGGTGCCCTCATTTTGCGACACACCCGTTAAAATGTTGGGATCCCGTTTCCAATCCATGCAAATCAGGCCGAAATCCGGAGCTCAGCGCAGACGAAACGAATCGCGGCGCATTGGTCAAGCATGGAGTCAAGCGAACAAGCCGGCAATACGATACTCAAGGAGCTTTGCTTGCCGCGGACTGCACAACTCAAGAAGCCTTCATCAAATATGCTCAGTGTGCCATGTGACAGGGTAGGGGCAAGTTAGGGTCAATACTGCTTGCAGGTGCCATGTGAATCGTCAATATCCATCCTTCAAACAGACTTGCTCCGGCAGCGACACAGCCCACAAGATTGGACATGCCTGACCTTTAACCGTTTCGCCTTTTTGGAAAATGTTTTATTGCCGTACTAGCAATAAGATTACCACACTTGTTGCTCGGTCAGTCTGAGCAGCCCACACCGGGACCCCAGCAGCCACTCCCCTTAAAGACCCCTCCAACTTGTGATGGGCCCACCCACGTTGCCAGACTTCACCTTTTTGCTGGTTGTTCGTGATATGCCTCTTTTCCCCAGCAAGACCACAATGTTGCAGTCGGAGCAGGAAGTAAACTGCTGAACCAACGTTTGGCATCCAAATCTGGTGCAAAGTTGAACCAGGGACAGGACAAATGAGAGTGCAAGCGCAAAATCCATTGAGGGGTGCTTCTGCCACCCTCGCATAACCTCGCTATAAAGGTCAACAACGCGTTTCCGACCTCATGCTGCCAGCATGTTGTTTTTCTCCAATGGGTTTAAAAGGGAATCTATCATTACTGGACATTTGTTTCTATATATTTTCCCAGGGGACTTGAGCGAGTGGAAGTGACGTCCCAACCCTTTCCAACCCCAGCTAGGTCCCCCAGTAGTGCCCTTTTACCCTATGTTTGGGGAGGGTGCCCCTACTAAAGTAGACTACAGAAAAAACAAGTCGGGTACCAACTTATTCTATCCGCTCAAATCTGGAGGACCTAGCCAGGGTGCAACTCTCAGTGACTCGCCGCTGCGGCCGTGATGAGCGATGAGCTCCATGTGGCCGCGGACTACGAGGCCCTGGCGAAAGCGGAGAAGGAGCGGTCTGACGCATCGGCGTGCCTAGGAGACCACCGAAGATTTCTGGATCAACTGCAGGAAATTGAGCATTTTGTCTATTTTTTGGGGACTCAGGTGTAACTTGCTGCATTTGCTTTTGCATGCGTTGTATTTGTGGCGTTCCTTTTGGATGTCCTTTTGACATGTTACAGAGTGGCGGTACCCTTTCAGTAAAAACAGACGCACCCAGATGGGTTCAATTGGGGGCCAATTACACATGATGGTTTTGCTGCAAGCAACCCATTTATAAGAACCTGTTTCAGCCCCGTGAAGATGGGCCGGGAGGACTCGCTAACCCGAAGTGAAGCTTCTTGCTGGTAGCCTTTGTAAACTAGTTCCGTGGCGCCGAAGTTTGGCGGTCAAGGTGCCTCTCGACTCTCAACCTTAAATCGACATGTCGGGATTCCTACCCCACGCAACTTTCCTGGTTCTGCCGAGTATCCTTTTTTGGGGTTTGTCAGGAAGTACTTTGCTCCAGGAATTGGAAAATGGGCAGTATTGGCCCCAGCGAGCCTGGTAGCCACGCCGCGGGGTTTGCCTGTGAAACTCATTAGAAAAGATGTCGGGCTGGAAACCCGAAGCACGGGGCCCGCTTGAGACGGTTTTCCTTTGACATCAGCTTTCCCTTTCTTTCCCCATGGCAATCCACGGGTCTTGGTTTCAAACCGACTTGCTGGTTCTCAGCAGGGAATGAGGAAATGAACCCAGAAGTTGTTCAAGGGATGGTGTATAGGTTTCATTCCCTCATTCCCAGAGCACCAGAAAGACGAGAAGTCGAAGCGGCGGAGCAAGTGCCCGGGCAAATCGCTCGAGCGATCGCAGGACCCCAAGGCTGCACTTCAGCACTTCCGAAGAGCCCTCGAGCTGTTGGCTCCGCTGCAGGCGCCCCGCGTGGAAAACCGCACCTCGCGGATCCCCTTTTCTTGGTTGTAGCCGTTTGGGCCAAAAAAAACAAGTTGTCAACTTTGGGGGAACACCAAATTGGAGGCATGGAAGCAGCTGAGCTACTATTTTGAGGCAGTCAGGGAGGTAGTCATCCGCTTACGGGGTGTCTCCAAAGGAAACCAAATGCCAGTTTGGCCCATTTGGGCAGTTGGCGACGATCTTACTGGTTAGAACCCTGCTGCTAGATGCTTCTCCCGGAAAACCGAAGAAGAAAACGACCACCTAACACCATGTGTTAAAATGTGCGCCAGGTCTAGGCATCTATATAAGTCTATATATAATATGTATATATATATATATGTATATGTAGCTAACGGCTTCACCCGGGTTTGGTGACTTACTGTAAACTAAAGGGTCCCATAATGTTTAGGTTCCTTTCACTCTATGTCCTCTTTGAATGAGCAATCATGAACGGACATATCATAACAAATTGTTAATTGTTCAATGTGGCCTGATGTGTGCAATTGTTTCACCAACCTTTCACCAGCTCTGCTTTATTTGCTTTCACAGGCGGGATTACTGTAAGCGCTGCCGAGGAGAATCTGGGGAATGCTGATTTTGAGTTCCAGTTGGTGCAACTCAGGTGCCAGCTGACGAGAACGGGGTGTGCTCACAATTCACTCGCTCTCGTTTTTCCCCCGGATCGGTGAGCTCGGAATTCTCCCAACGAGCCCACGCGAGAATCCAGCCAGGGAATCTCCTGCAGGGCGGGAATCTGACAGGACCCACAACTTGGAAGCTGAAGAGTGGGGTTGAGGCTCGAGATATTGCATGGGAAAGAGTTCCGTTAAAAGCAATGCCACATCTTCCATATCTTTGGGCGAATCGCTTTCGAGGGAGAAAAAAAACATGGGCATCTGGAAATTTCTGGGGGCAACAGGCAATCATTAATGTGTTTGGTGGTCGGAAAACAACCTTGCCTTGCAGAACTGCCGGACTACCTGCTGACCCCAACTACACCCAGGGGGACATAGGTGACAATCCGTTCCGGAGACCCTTGGAAACCCCATAGGCCGGCAGAGGCAGCAGGCACCAGCATCAAACAGCCTTCGGGGGGGGGCCCACTTTTGACACACAGACACGATTTCCATGGCAAGTGCCTTGCTAAAGTTGCTAGAGAAGACATTGGGCTGCTCCAAATGAGATCCCTCAAGACCGCCCCTGCGTGCGCCGAACATCGCATGTTGAGAGGCGCTTGTTGAAGCGGAGTTTGGCCCCCGAGTTGGCGTGCCGACGGCAAGAGGCTCATGAGCTTATGCCGCGAAAAGACAACATGCATGATGCTTTGTTTGCGTTGCCTGCGAAGCCTGTCAATCACAGTTCTCCAACTTGTCGCTGGAGCCCAGTTACCCAGCCATCCCCTTAGCTTTTTAGCTTTTTTAGGGTTTAGTGAGGGGTTCCATTTGACCCACCGAAGTTAAACTTGCAGGCGATCTGAGGACAGCCCAGGTAAGTTGGGATGAATGTGCCTTTGAACCTTTAAACGCCACTGGACCTTTTCAGAGGTCAGCGCAACAAAAGCAACCGGCCGCCAGGCCAAGCACGACGGCCGAGCGCTGGCGGCCGCGCTGCAGTTGCCACTCAGACGCGGGAAAAGCGAAACCTGTTCAAAGCTGACCTTTTGATCGGGTGGCTTTCCCATTTTGGTCCATTCCAGTCATGGCCCCAAAAGGTTGACCCGCTTCTAGAAACCCAGTTCGAAGAGCACCTGGAGCATCAGCAGACCTGCAGGGAGTATCACCCGTTGAGCTGGCAAACTAAGCTGTGATTACTTGAGGGAGGGTTGCCCTAAACAAAGGAGGGGTATTTATTTTAGGATTCTTGTTTTATTTGTGTTTTCTTTTTTTTCCGCTTTTGGCTTCTTGGCTTCTTGGCATTTTGGCTTTTTGGCTTCTTGGCTTCTTGGCTTCTTGGCTTCTGGGCTTCTGGGCTTCTGGGCTTTTTGTTGGTTTATGCGGCTTTTGGTGGCTTTTTGGCTTTGGCTTTTCGCATCCTCTGCATTCCCAGTTCCTCTTCGGCAGGTGGCGTTTTGGCTTTTTCGTTCAGATTTGGCTTCCCGTCATCAGCATCACCAGTTCCTCCCTATTTGAATCATCACTTCTTCAAACATCATGGGGGGGAAGCTACTGTTTAGATTGTTTGCAGAGTAATTGCACCCCTATTTGAATCAACACTTCTTCAAACATCATGGGGGGCTGCCCCCCGCTACTTTTTACATTTCTTGCAGAGATTGAATTGCACCCCTATTTGAATCATCACTTTTTCGAGCGTCCAATTTCGCGAGAAAATGCTGCAAAATACGATATTTTAGGTAATCTGTGTAATCCATGTATGTCTGTATGTATGCACTTCTTCGAACATCATAGGGGAAGCCACCCCCGCCAACCCTCCCGCTGCCTTTTAAATTCTATCGCACCCTTTCTTGAATCATTGCACCCCTACTTGAATCATCACTTCTTCCGACATCATGGGGGGGGCTGCCGCCCCCCCCAACCCCCCCGCTACGTTTTAGATTTTCTACAGAGATTTAATTGCACCCCTAGTTGAATCATCAATTCATCGAACATCATGGGGGGGCTGCCGCCCCCCCCAACCCCCCCCCCCCCTTACTTTTTGGACTTGTTGCAGAGATTGAATTGCACCCCTATTCGAATCATCACTTCTGCGAACATCATGGGCCCCCCCAACCCCCCCGCTACTTTTTAGTTTTTTGTTTTACAGGGACTGAAATGCCCTCCTATTTGAATCATCATTTTTGTTGACCCCGTCAACCTGCCAGCTACTTTTTTCGATTTTGTTACCCACGATTTGTTGGTGAATCTAGGGATGTTGGTCGGACATGCGGGGGATGTTGAAAACGATGCTGGGGATGTTGACGGGCTAGTGTAAAATGCGTCAATTTCGCCAGAAAATGCTGTAAAATACGACATTTACTGGCCCGGACGAAAAACGGGGGGAAAAATCAAACATATATATATATATATAACAATCCGCACCCCTAAACAAATGCTGTATTTTTTGTCGGAGGTTTGCCAAACGTCTCGAAGGACATTGTGACACCAAGTGACACCAAGCGGTATCAACGCAATGCAAAGCAACCGTTCGCTTCGGAAGGCCCAGATAGGAAAATTGGTTCGTCGTTTTGGAACCCAATGACACAAATGTTTCCTTGTGAGTGGGGTTCCTTTTGACTTTCACAAGGATTGCCGGCAAGGCCGGGGCAAGCCCTGTCACTGCTTCTGCCCAATCTGCAGAACCCTCACGTGGACTTTTGGCTCTCTCGACTCAAGCGATACGAAAGGCACCTAGGAGCAACGGTCAAAATTTGCTGTCATCTTTGCAGCATTTGATGTTAGTTGACTGTTAAGTTAATGTTGCGCGTGGCTCATATGATGGTTTTAACTTTAGCACAGCGTAGCTTCCGTTGCCAGAAGCACACAATCACTTCGAGCCAGTCAATGTCAAGACGAGAAACAAGCGCTGTTTAACATCGAGCAGACAGGTCATTCGTGAGGTCTTTTCATGGCATGTGTTCTCTCAAAAAAGTGACCCCTGAAAGTAGGTGACTTCCTGTTGGTGTATTTTGGTGTTAAACTTGTCTTGCCTTTTGGTCTCCCTCTGGGTTGCATGTTTGGTCTCCCTTTATACCGGGTTCTTCCAATTCATTCGTTGGTTCGCGCAGCCTCACGACCAAATCGACTGAGGCATGTTGAAATGGCGCGCTGGCCCTAGGGCGTGGTTTCTGGGTGATGAAGGGCGTCCTCTTCGTGTACACCCTTTTCGGGCTTGATCGAATCAAATGCGTGTCCCCTTTCGGACCAAAGATGTTTCCGGTGTATTTTAAAAGCAACTTAGATCTATGTGTGCAAGCAACGGGACGGTACCCTTTTCAACCAAAAGAACAACGACCATTGAAAGTGTTTGGGTCCCCCCCATGTTGACACATACCCAAATGAATCGATATTTGAGTTGCAAAGGTTTCACCACCGGACACTGAATGGATACTCCTTGAGGATAGTCCCCAATGAAAGGGTTATGCTCAAAGGATGAAAGGGGCTTTGGGATTTATATAGGACATCTGTTGAAGGTATAAGTCGCTTCTGGCACACTGCCGCCATTTTTGATCGATCGAGATAAGGGGTACAGCCGATCGGGGCAAAGAAGGCCTGGAGGTGTCACCAGTTTCTCCCAGTGAAGTTGACAGCAGCCTTCAGCGCTTTCTTTGATTTCATTCCAGCTTCAAGTTTGCCGACCTAGACAGCCTGCGGAACGTGCCAAAATCGTGGGGCGGATGTCACTGCCGGCTGAGAAAATTGCATTCCTCAGAAATCGCCCAACTTGGCCACGAGTGAGATAGATCAGATGACTAGAGGAATAGATAGAGCTCCTGTGCCAAACCGAAACATTCCTAGGCAGCAGTCAAACTGGCGCAAGAGTATTACAGAGATGACATGTGGGAATCCCATGCGAAGGCAGCTCGGGAATTGGCCTGCCGTACGCTTGTGTTTCTGCCGCTACACTGGAGTCAGAACTGTAGGAAACTCAGCGCTCTCGACTCTCCACGCAGCTTTGGTGAGGGGGGCCCCAAAACATTTAAGCCTGAGGTAGCAGGTTCCTCTTGAGGCTCGGTACCCAATGTGGGGCCACGGGCCTCAACACGACATGGACCCCTTCTCCCTGCGAAACTCAGCCACAGTGCTCCCCCCACAGGCACACCCATACAGTTTCCCATGTGTCAACCAAACGGGCAGCACCACCGCCACTTGGCCACACCCCTTTGCCAGGGGTCCGAGATCCAATTCAACGCTGCGTGGAGGAGACTTTCTCATGAGGAAAACCCCTCACATCGCCACCCTCGTAACCCTCCGAACCCAATTCAGTGGGTTGCATGTGAATCAGGACTTTCAAACCCCAAAAACAGGGTGCCCTCAAAAAGACAAGGCCAGATGATGTCCTGTCTCAACCCCTTTCAAGTCGCCTGCCCAGAGTTGCCAGTTCGAAGCTTGGATTTCGAGGGGACGTTTCGGGCACGTTCTCGGCAAGTCAGCTGGGCGTCTTTTCCGAGGGTACCTTTTTGTTGGTGTCTGAAAGGAAACCGAAAGGACAACCACATTTTTCTTTAGGGGGGGTCCTGAAAAATACACACCCAGATTCTACATGTTGAAGGTGCTCTCAGCGAATCTCTGTTGCCGTTGTTGCAAGGGTTCATCCCTTCCGATGGCTTGTCTGACCCAAGGGATCGCCGCAAAGAGTTTGGCAGACTGCCCCACCTTGGGGGTGGGATCGGGGGTTCCTCAATTCCATTTGTCCAGTGCCTGCAAAGGGCAAAGGGAATTCCAGGATGAACCTCTCTGCCAATCCCATTTTTAAGGTGGGGGATGGCGTTCAATGACTCGGGAGGTTGCACCCTGGCTCAGGTAGCCCTAAATTGGTGGTTTGAAGTGGTTAGGGGATTGGGGCTCTGGCTCTTGTAAAAATGGGAAACCATCTCCAACCTCACCACCACCTCCCTCGAGAAACCACATATTGTTCATTCCGCAAAGAAAAGAAGATCACCAAAATCACCAAAAGGATCTTTTAGGAATATTTGGTTTCATTTCCCACCAAAATCGCCCAAAGCATCTTCTAAGAATCTGTGTTTCATTTTTTCCGGGTCTTTTCCAGGGACTCATTTTCCGACTGGGCAGACGGTCCCCCCATTTGCCCGCGGAGTCCGCGGCCGAGGCAGGTGCTGCTGGCCCAGCAGCCCTACCGCGCCTTCCAGAGCGCCTCCCAGGCGATGGAGTCGGCTTGTTGGATTGGAGGGGCAGTTTTTTTAAAGTTTGGGGATTTGTCCATTGTGTTTGGGTAATGTTCGTTGTTCGCCGTTTTTTTCGGGATGTTTCGTTGTTTTGGGGTTTTGTCTGGGATGTGTTTTTTTCTTTTTTTTCCGCTTTTGGCTTCTTGGCTTTTCGGCTTTTCGGCTTCTTGGCTTCTTGGCTTCTTGGCTTCTTGGCTTCTTGGCTTCTTGGCTTCTTGGCTTCTGGAAAGACTGCAAAAGCAGATGAGTGGAGATGGCAATCTTGGATATATATCTTAGATATCATTGCTATAGCCATGTTGAAATATGTAAATACATAAGTCAGGTAATGACATGAGAGTAGATACATGACATATCTAAGGCTGAACTTGAACGCGCCATGCAAACATCATTTCGTTCTGGCACGCTCGGGGGCGCCTGGAATTGCCATACTAAAAAACGTGTCGCACTCCCAACGGACACATTTTGGAGCCCGCCTCGGCTCTGCTGTGTCCCTGTTGCCTGCCGGATGACGAGGGTGCCCCTGTCCGCCCGTGCACGCACGCACGCACGCACGCACGCACGCACGCACGCACAGACACACACGCACAAACAGACACCCACACACACACACCAAACAGACACAACAAACTAACAGACACACAACACAAACTCAAGCACATGAACACAAACACAAACACAAACTCTGACACAAACACAAACCACACACACAAACACAAACACACAAACACACACACACAGATACACACACACAGACCCACACACACACGCGCACACACACACACAAACACGAAAGTACGCAAGAACACACACACAGAAACAGACACACAAACAAGAAACAGACACACAACACAAACTCAAATACAAAACACAAACAACAAACAGACACACAACACAGACTCAAACACAAAACGCAAACACAAACACACACACACACAAACACAAAACACACAAACACAAACACACACACACACAAGCACGCAAGCACACACACACACAAACACACAAGCACACACACACACACACACACACACACGCACACAAACAGACAAACACGCACACAAACACACAAACACACAAGGCACACACGAACCCACCCACCCACCCACCCACCCACCCACCCACCCACCCACCCACCCACCCACCCACCCACCCACCCACCCACGCACCACGCACGCACGCACGCACGCACGCACGCACGCACGCACGCACGCACGCACGCACGCACGCACGCACGCACGCACGCACGCACGCACGCACGCACGCACGCACGCACGCACGCACGCACGCACGCACGCACGCACGCACGCACGCACGCACGCACGCACGCACGCACGCACGCACGCACGCACGCACGCACGCACGCGCACGCACGCACGCACGCACGCACGCACGCACGCACGCACGCACGCACGCACGCACGCACGCACGCACGCACGCACGCACGCACGCACGCACGCACGCACGCACGCACGCACGCACGCACGCACGCACGCACGCACGCACGCACGCACGCACGCACGCACGCACGCACGCACGCACGCACGCACGCACGCACGCACGCACGCACGCACGCACGCACGCACGCACGCACGCACGCACGCACGCACGCACGCACGCACGCACGCACGCACGCACGCACGCACGCACGCACGCACGCACGCACGCACGCACGCACGCACGCACGCACGCACGCACGCACGCACGCACGCACGCACGCACGCACGCACGCACGCACGCACGCACGCACGCACGCACGCACGCACGCACGCACGCACGCACGCACGCACGCACGCACGCACGCGCACAGACACGCACACGAACAGACACGCACACGCACAGACACGCGCGCACGCGCACATGCGCGCACGCCCACACGCGCACACGCACACGCCAGGCAGGCATGCAGGCACGCACGCACGCTTCACGCAGGCACGCACGCACCCACCCACCCACCCACGCACCCACGCACCCACGCACCCACGCACCTACGCACCCACGCCTCTCGCACCCACGCACCGACGCACCCACGCACCCACGCACCCGCACCCACACGCCCACATACACACAAACGCACAAACGCTCACACACACACACACAAACACAAGCACACAAGCACACACACGCACACACACGCACAGGCACACGCTCGAACGCACACACGCACGCACGCGCATGCACGCACGCACGCACACGCACACGCACGCACGCACGCACGCACGCACACTTACACTTACACTGACACTTTCACTTTCTTTCTCTTTCACTTACACGCACACGCACACGCACACGCACACCCACACCCACACCCACAGGCGCACCCACACACACACACAGACACACACAGACACACACAGACACACACGCACACAAGCACAAACTCACACGCACGCAAACACTGACACACACACACACAAACACACAACAACCACCGCAAACACAAACGCGCACGCACAAACACAAGCACAACCACAAACACAAACGACGCGCAAACACAAACATGCACACTCACACATACACATACACACACACATACACACACGCACACACGCACACACGCACGCACGCACGCACGCACGCACCCACACACACACACTCTCACGCCCCCGCACCCGCACTCGCACCCGCACCCACACCCGCACCCGCACCCGCACCCGCGCGGGGGCGCGCCCGCGCCCGCGCACGCGCACGCACACGCACACGCGCACGCGCATGTACACACACACACACACACACACCTACACCCGCCCACGCGCCCACGCGCCCACGCGACCACGCGCCCACTCGCCCACGTGCCCACGTGCCCACGCGCCCACCCGCCCACGCGCCCACGCGCCCACGCGCCCACGCGCCCACGCCCACGCCCACGCCACACCCACATTCACACCCACACCCCCGCCCGCACGCCCGCCCACCCGCCCGCTCGCCCGCCACGTACGCACGCCTTCCCGCCACGCACGCACAAACACACACAGACAAATGTCGGTGTGTCTTAAATGTGGGCAGGCCCCCCCTCCCTCCTGAAAACAAAATTAGGTTTCCCCTCAGCTGCCTTGAAGCGCACATTAGTCACTTTGCCCTCCAAACAGACAAAACGAGGTTTTCCTTTCTCCGAAAGTCCACAGGTCCGCGTCGGTTCGGCACCAGGCCCTGCGCTTGCCGCCCCCGTGCCTCTACGGCGCCAGGGCGGCCCCGGGCCTCGTCAGCGCCGCCCACCTGGTGCGCACGCAGGCGGTGCTCGCCATGGAAGAGGCCGAAAGAAAGCCGGGCCGAGCTGTGTCTTTGGGTGGACTTCAAGGGAAACCAAAAAGAGCACCATTTCTTGGTGGCTCCCTATTTCAATTCACACCCAAACGGGGCTTTCTGTTTTACCGTTTGTGTTTTGAAGCATCCTTTTCATAGGGTAGGTCAATCCCTGTGTCTTGTCAATCTCCGTGTCTTGGGAAGTTTGAGTGCCCCCAAAGCAGTGCTTGTATGCAACCAGGCAGCTCCTGGATTTTAGTCACTTGGGAAGACCATTTTATGTGCAGATAGTGCATGCTGGGTTTCTCCGGCTCGCCCTCCCCGCGGGGGTGGGGTAAGCGAGCCTGATTGGCTTGAGCCACAATCAAAACCCGGGTAGATGAAGGTTGGTAAGGGGCAGTCCCAGCCGGAAATAGTTGCGGCCGCCTTTCTACTTCTTTGCGTGGTTCTGTTTTTTTGTACCAGGTTTTGATTATGACACCCGCCACCGATTTCTACTATCCATGTAGTTCTTGTTCCGGTTCCTGCTTGGTTTTATGGGGATCATTGCCGGGCCTAGCCTTTGCATCCAGGTCGGAAGACCAAATCTCAATGGGTTGAGGGCTCGCAGGTGTACTCATGTTTGTTGAAACACACAAATACGAGCCTTACACATATTGAACGCTTAATGTTCACCCCTCATCAATCAACGTGATGGATCCCTAGTTAGTGGACCATCCTCTATTATTAATCCACCAAGGTCAGCACCCAGGCTTTTCACCACATACTCACCTGTTGCCGAGCACCCAAGAGAAGCCTTACAACCCTCTCTGCCCTCACCCCCAAAAAGGGGCAAGATAAAGGAACTTGCATGGAGTGCAGCATTTTGGGGGAAAGGGGGTAATTGATTTGGACCAAGCCCTCGCCTAACCAAGCCCATCAATCAGGCCGAGGAGATGTACTTCTCGGACGAAGGCCTCGAGAATTTCGGTCCTAGTGGGTAACCTGTTGGCTTACACTCCTGCGGAGAGGGAGGGTTGGGGTGGGGGTGGGTTGATGGGGGGGGAGTCCTTCGAGTGATCACAATTTTGGGAGTTCTCAAGATGGCTCAACATGAATCATTCTTTAAATGCAACCCCCTCAATACTGAAAGTTTGTGAACATTTGGCGGGTTCTCAAAGCGACTCATGGGCATATTTTCCTTCAAACCATCATTCAGAGGGCGCTACAGTCACGCGGCAGTTTGCACGGCCAAATGTTGTGGCATGCTGGGCAATTTGTCCGCTTTCATCAAGTCCAGTTCAGCTCCTTGATGAACTGGTTTTGGCATATTGGCTAGGTTTGAATTGAGTTTTGTTTGGAACGTGTTTCAATGGTGTATGGATGGCACACCTGATCCAACGCATTCAGCGCCTGGATTGATTGTAGCTGTTTTGGTGGCTGAGATTTTCTCAGGTGGGGTATTACTTTTCGTTCAATATCCAGGGAGAATCCTTGGAGAGCTGTCAAGAAAAAGGATGATGATGATGATGATGATGATGATGATGATGATGATGATGATGATGATGACAACGACGACGACGATGATGATGCTCTTAGGATGTCCTTCGCCTTTGTAATGTTGTTGTGACCGAGCTGAAAAGTGCCACTACATGTGTTGGCTATGTGATGGTGATGACAAACCCCGTGATGATGATGTTTATCTTGGGATTCTACTTCCCGGATGTTGGGAACCAACATTACAACCTGGGCTGAGTTGGAGGACATGCGACGCCAAGGCTCAAAGCTGCCTCTGAAGTTCCAGAGTTTTCTCCCTGGAAATTTGGCCTCCGATGCTGGGACTGTCACCAAAAGTCTGATTGACCAATGGGCGAGCCGAAACAGCATCAGCGAGACTTACTGCAGCGCAATGTCCAAAAACAGCTAGGCCATGGACCCCTTTTCAGGGTTTCCCTCAAATGTCTATTGTCGTTGGTGTTCTTGGGGGGGTTCCTTTCGCCTTCGATCCACAAGGACTTTTGGTTGGTCATTTCAAATCTGAGCGACCCACACTTTGTTTGGGAGGTTCCTTTCCAAATATCTTTTGGGAGGGGGCTGTTGTTTCAATGCCAATCAACATATATCAGCTTCCCATAGCTTCCCTCTAATTGGTGGTTTGAGGTTAGCGTGGTTTCCCCGCCCTTTACCTTCGAGTATACTTTCCGGAGTTCCTTGTGCATCCAACCATGCATTTTGTGGGGTTGGGTGTCTTTCTGCAGGGATTAAAAAGAAAGAATAATCCAAGCAACACACACGCACGCTTGGGGGGTGGGTTCCTTTCGAATCCAACGAAGACACACTGTTGGTGTGGGGTTCCTTTCAAAGCCAACTAAAGTACCCTTTGTTTGGTGGGTAGGCTTCCTCTTCAGATCCAATAAACATGACTTTTGGGGGATGGGTTTCCTACCAACATTGCAGACTTTTGGGGCTTGGATTTCATCTTCCATTTGACCATGTAACATACTTTTTTAAGAAGTTGGTGTTCCTTCAAATCCAGCCAACATCCACTTTGTGTGTGGAAGGTGTTCCTTCAAGTCCTACCAAGACACACTTCAAAGGTTTCCCTTCCACCATCCGACATAGTTCATCTGGAGTCTCCCTGTCTCTCAAAACAAGGGGCCCTGACCCCCTTTGTTTTTGGATAGTCACCCCATTTTGGAAAAGGCCGTGAAGATTCCAGGTACACGTGGTTTTTAGTTGGATGGGCTTCCTTTCACATCCAACCAACCGGTGGACTGTTTCTAATCCAACCAGCACACACACAATTGGCAAGTGGGTTTCCTGTCATGTCCGACCATACAATTTTGGAGATTTCTTCAGGTCCCACCAGCTCACGCAGTTTTCGAAAGCTGGGCCGGACACGCTGTTTGGGGTGCTGTCTAATCCGACAAAGCTGCACGTTCTGGGAGAGACAGTTTCTTAAAAGAATGGCCGGCATACACTGTCTGTTAAAACAATGCCAAGTGTTGGCCCACATGTTGTTCATTTTACGAGCCCAAGTGGTTGTTCAGTAGGATGACCAGTCCAATCTGCAGATTTCTCCCACATGTTCAGTGGCGCCCTTTCCTCTTTTAGCTTTCTTCTCTTTTAACTTTCAGTAGGTTTTGGTGTTATTATGTTTGGTTGGTGTTCCTTGTTTTCGGTTTGTCGTTGCCAGCGTTTATTTCATATGTTTTCCGTTTCTTTGTCTATTGCGCTTCGTTGCATTGGTTGGGTTTTTGCTACCCTTTGTTGTATTTGGTTTGTTCCCGAGTCAAACTGGTCAACCCGACCACGGGTTTTGGCCACGGATCCACCCAGTCTGGGGCCAGACTCCCGGTGCTCTCAGCGAGGCGAGCGTGCGGCGCTGCTCAAGGATTTGCGCAGAAACCTGGAGGCAGGGTATGGTGAATGGGGTATCCTGTTGCATATGGCTTTCTCTTTTTTAGAGTTGGTCCCTTTCTCTGTGGCTTTTGTGGCTTGAAAGGAAACGAAAAAGAACACCAATTTTTATTTGCTCGGGGGGGGGTTATGTCGGGATGTGTAGTATTGGGGTAATGTCAACTTCGGAGTAATCAAAGGAGGACCCCAATCAGAGGACCGCCCTAGAATGGCTCATTTCTCTACTAAAAGAGAACCAGCCGTGATTAGGACGGTCCGGGTTTTTCATTATGGGTGGTACCTGGATTGACATGTTGACCCGGAATCTAAGTAGAACCCATCCTATCAATTAGGGGCTGGGGGCCCCTGCAAACGACATCCCTTGATCAAAATCAAAATGCAAAAAAGGGGGCGTCTTTCAAGAAAGACGCGCCCATCGCCTGAATCCGGCTAAATCCGCTCTGGCTAGGCGGTGCAGGCAGTGCAAGGCGTGAGCCCCGCCCTGCAGGCCAGGAAGCGGGTCGGGACCCCGAAACGCGCCTTGCAGTTGGAAGACTTACAGTGGGGGACGAAAGAACAGGAAGACTTATGATTGGGTGACAGGAGTTCAAAGCCTAGAGGCTAGAGGATATACATATACAGTACATGGTATAATATAAAGTGATTCCAACCGGTGCGCGTGTTACGTTCCGTCTGGGGTGACGGTACATTGCACATTCCCTTCAAAGGGATGACTAAACCATTGGGATATTGCTACTTTTCTCCAAGTAAGTGTATTCACTCCCTTAGCTCCTGAGCTTGAGTCATCTGTTGGGGGAGGACTATTTTAGTGGCAAACAAGGGTTTGGACTGTTGTTGGCTAGTGCACTCAGGAAGTGAAGAACGAGGACTTATAAAACCGAGATTCTTATCATACCGTGTTACCGTGCCGCTTTTTGTGCGCCACCCAAGATTCCGTGTTTGGGGTCCCTCGCAGGTTGATAATTTAATGGCCATTTACCCAGGACAAGCAAGCGAAACGAGAGTCGAGCCAAATCAGATGCCTTTCCTTGCGAGAGGGAATCCTTCACTTTTGGTGTAAACCGCCCCCGATTCATCTATCAGGTTGCAACTCTGAGGTAAATGTTATCAGTTGGTAATGGCAACCAAGGGGTGATCAGAGGGGTGCAAAAGTGTACTTGAGGGGGCAGCGTACCTAGTAAGTAGATGCTATTGGATGTTGTTGGACGTTGTTGGATCTGTTGGATTGCATTTGGTTTTTGCAATCTGCAAAGAACATTCGGTTGGCCACGGGTTGGGAAGGCCACCAGTTGGACCCAGAGTATCAGAACTAGTTTGTTCAACCTTTTAACCGTTGAAGCCATGAAGCTGGACAACATTTCACGGCGATCAAACGAGCGACAGGAGCTGCAACGCAAGCTGCTGCGCTTTGCAGGCTTCGCTCTAGGGGGAAGATATCCCTTCGGGCGAAGTCTAAGGCGATGAGTTGGGAACAAGAGCCTGCAAAATGTGTTCGTGTCCGTCGTGCCCTCGATCAGAGGCAAACTGAAGTCTGTGGCGTGTTTCAGATTGGGAGTTGATTCCGCCATGAATGAGCTGACTTAAGGACCTTCAAAGAGGTTCGCTCTTTCAAAACAAACGCAACCCGACCCTAGGCCTCCCCCCCCCCCCCCCACAAAAAAAGAGAGAGAAAGCATCGATTGTGCTATAGACAATTAGAAGCCATTTTGCGCCCGAGAACTCTAAAAAAAGCAAAACCAGAAACAAGCAGGTTACAAAATAGGCGCCGAGTGTCCACCATATCCCCAGACCAACCCCCTACTGTGAAAGCCTGATTTTGTCCAATTTGACTTTGTGAAATTGTCATTGACCTGAGTAAAGCGAAGCGAACAGCCACATCTTGGGTCTTTGCGTGGTTTGGGGTCAGCTGGACACCCTCCATTCGGACCTTTGCTGGTGGCTTGACTAATTGTCAACCTAACCCGGGCCAAGAACACTAACTGTTTCACCCCAAAAAAGGAACCCACCATTTCTTTTTGGCGGGGTCATGTTCAAGTGCGTAGAACAACCCTCGCAACAGGGGTTCAATTCCGTGTCTTCCAGGATTACTCTCGTTTTCTATTCCAAAATGTCACTGCTTTTTATAATTCATGCCGGCGGTTCAACAAATTGCCTTGCTTGATACTCTGAACTTTGGCTTTGATCAAGAAGGGAAGCCAAAAACGGTTTCTTGGCAGTTCTTCGGGGATGTGGAAATGAGGGTTTGTTGATTCCAACTTCTACGATATCTTTTCGTTTGTGGGGATTCGTGAATTTGCTGAGTTGCATTCTTTGTTTGTTCTGTGATGCAATGGAGTTTGGTTTGCGAAGCGACAAAGTAGTTTAGCCAGAATTACAGGAAGCCCAATTGGATATCACAGGAAGGGCGGGTTTTGCCCACCAAGGGCCCTTTACGACCTTGGGGGGACTACTCAGCGGAAGCGATCGGGCAATTACGTCAGGTAAGTGGTTTAGCCACCCTGCGAATCACCCGCGTACACCTTATGAGTCCCCATTCAGTGGCTGATGGCCACAGCTCCCCACCACCTCATTGAGAAGCCAACCTTCCCAGCGATTCGGCCAGGCTAAGGCTGTAGTTTTAGAAAGCTGGGGCCTCATTCTGAAAGGCCAACATCAGGATCTGTCTGGGGTAGGAGTTTGGGTGCATCTGACACATCTGTTGCCTCAACCTGAAGCAAGCAATACAATGGCCGTTTTGCAACAAGGCCCAACTCCATTCAAGGTTTGCGCAGCTGTGACCAAACACGTTAATTGGTAACGGCCTGGATGGCAACCCTGTGCCGTTTTGACCTAGTTCTATGAGTTCCTTGGAATAGGTTTGATATGGCAGAGGAGTCATGGGGAAAACCACCCTAACATCACAGAACGGTTACTCTTCGTAACCACGTCTATTGGTGTCGAACCACTCTTCAAGGCGGTTTCAAGGTTGTTGTTTTTTATTGCGAACCGGAGGGCATTTAGCTTGGTATGTCCTTGTGGTATATCACTTTGGTATGTGAGCAATGATCAACTTCAGTCTGACAGCTTCTGCATACACCTTTGGGACCCTGCCCTTTCGGAGTCACCAGACCTACTTGGTTTGGGGCTGGGCACGGACCACAGGGATTTTGAACACCGCTACAAGGGTCCAAGGGAACCACGAGATTGGCAACAACGCTCGTCCCTCGACAGCTGCAAGCACGAGATCCAGAACAGCGCGAGACCTCCCTCGCTCTCTACGTATCCCTGATGGAAAATATTCAGACCTATTCAATCCTACTTATATTAGGCACCACATGCCACGTGTTTTCAACAGCATGGCTGCTGTCAGGCTGTGTGTATATATATATAATATATCAGGGGCACCTTATTTGCCCCGTAGACTGCAGTAGCTCGGCCCGCATGCCAGGGCCTTCGCCACATGCGCGGAGCACGCGGAACTCACTGCAGAGGCTTGGCGAACGGCTCCAAGGGAGCATGAGGTTTGGAGATTTATTTTGAGTAGTGCATCATGTGTAGAGGCATCTTTTTGTGGGGGACCCTTTTTTGGGTTCCATGTCAATCTGTAGGGGAGCAGTCAATTTTGTTTGAGAGGGAGGGACGCACAGGACTCCCTCATTTTCTCCTAGGAACGGCGTTTGCAGGCGGCTTTTAGAAGGCGTGGTGGAAAATTTGGCTGGGATGGGATTGCCTCCAAGCACTTGGCCCATTTATTTGCTTGGGTTGCCACTCTCCATGAGTGGCCTTGGAAGTGCCTTGAATGTGCTAAGCCCTCCTTTCTAGGAAGCTCCCCAAGTAAAGCCCCACTGCGTGCTGGAGGAAGCTAGGCATGGTCCTGGTATGTACACAATTTAGGCGGCTGCTTCTCGTGAGTGTCGGTGGTGTTGTTTGCGATGACTAAGTCGTACCGCACTCGACAGCAGGGGAATAGCATTGCTTCTGGAGCAAGATACGTCAAGACTTGTTGAGGTTCCGGGTTCTTAGATGGTCTTGGGGTTAGCCAAGTGATCAGCAATCATCAGCTCACTCACAGATACCCTCCTGTAACTCCTTGTAAGTAGGCTTACTTCCCAGCAACCACTTGGCAATTGCTCCCAAGCCTAAGTAGACACGCAAATACCCACCACTCAGGAATTTCCCCTTGTCACTGGGACCACATGATTCGTGATTCGTGATCCGCGAGCAGTCGGCCGTAAGCTGCGGCTTTTGTAGCCTCGGGCGGTCCGGCATCAACTCGATGCTTTGGCGCGACCAGGGCCGGGACTTGAAGAAGGTCGTTGGTTTCGTTTCAAGACCAAGTTGTCTCACCAAAATTGGAGACTTTGAAGCCCTGCGTGTGTACCACCCACATCCAACCATAAAACCCTCGGAAGTTGCGGTAAATTGTAGACATAAAGGAGCTGGATCATTGCTAACACTATGCCATGAGCTTGGCTGAAGTTTTTTCAACAGCCCTTCCAACCCCATTCGAGTTAGCTAGGCCTCTCTAGAACCCTCAAAAGGGGGTTCGAAAGGACGCGGTCTCAATGACGGCTTGGAAATCTTCTATGCGCTCTAGGCATCAGTTGCACCCCCAATCTTCATTGGGTTTTATTCACTCCCAACTGGTGCTAACTGATTCTTGCCTATCCACAGCATGAAGCCCTATGAATGCTTTATCATAAACCACACCAGGTGCCAGATTGTATCCACAGTATGTCTGGTTGGCATCTCAGATTCAAAGAGGTTTGCCTATCTTAAGCGGTCCCTCTGGCTTTTGTTCAGCCATAAAAACCATACCCAGAGGGCCCGAAGAAGCAGGTCTTCCTCTGGCGCCTTCGCTCCCGCTGGCTCTGCAGCCGCTTTGGTGGCGGCCAGGAACCGCTTTGGTGTGAAACGGGGACGCCGGGGATGCGCGGGCGCTTTGGTGGTTGATGTGATTTTGATGCTGTTCTATGTTGCTTTGGTTGTTTCTGTGTGCGCAGTTTTATGTTGTTCTATGTGGTGTCGTGTTGTATGATTGTTGTTTTGTGGTTGTCGCTTGTTTGCGTAGCAATTCGAAGTTTTGGTTTGATTACTTGATGTTGTTGTTGTTGTTTTGTTGTCTTGCGTTGATGCGTTGTGATTCTTTCTTTGCTGGCTGGAACTTGGCATGAAACCAAAATGGCCCCCACGAAAGATGGTGTTTGGTTCCATGCTAGCTTGTAGGAGTGTAAACCAGCCTTGAAAGCAGCTGTGGCTACTAGGTGAATGCGGAGGCTTTGACATGTTTCATCTAACCTCCGGACAGTCTTGTGTACATCAACTTTCCTGTGCCAGCAGACTCCCTTTGCAACATCGCCAGACTTAGCTTACCCATTTTTCATGTTCATTTCTGTTTTCCTTCATGTTCCCTTCTCACCTGTTTTGCACGGGGTCTAAGTCCGACCATGGCAGGCGGCAAGGCGCTTGGTCCCGTTCAGATTGCCTTAGTGGAAAAACGTGTTGCCTGCTAACAGTGGGGATGAAAGTATTCTCGAGGCAGGCTACTGTTACCCTGCAATGAATGACCATATTCGCATTACGATCTTCCAGCATTTCCACGGCAAGTGGGTGTCTACACCGATACGGCGTGGCGTCTCATTTGTCCAAAACCAAGCTTTCGACCTCTCACTTTGTATGAACCGATGGCCATCAATAGGTTGGACTAACTTTGGTGAAATGCGGGTGCTGTTTTCGGAGGCTGCACGTCTTGCGACTGTTCCAAAGGAAACCAACAAGGATCCCACATCAAATGGCATGGGGCCCTTAGGAGTTAGCTACTTAGTTATCCGCAGGTTAATCAAGGACAGCTTTGCCGATGCATCGCTACGCATGCGAATGTCCTATTTCTCAAGATGATAAGGAACACATTTTACATCATGCTCGATCGCCCTTCTTTGAAGAGAATCGATATGCTCCGCTACAGCAGCTTGCACCATCGAAGACGATCAGTGGGTTCAACCTCCTGATGATTTCAGTTTCATTGGCAAAGGAAGCTATTGAGACTTTTGAACTCGGAAGAGGTCATACACTGACGGAATTCAGCAAGGCGGAATTTCCTCCGAAGTATTCGATCGGACGTGGAACAACAGCGGCTAACACTTGCGAAGCGATTCAACGCTGCAGAGAAATGTGTGCCAGAGAGCCAGAGCAAGAGGCGGCGCAGCTATGCACGTTGTTGGGGCATCAGCCGTACCAAATGTTTAAGGCTAAAGAACGCAAACATCAGATTGACCCGGCACGAGCCAGGCTCAAAGCTCCCATGCCAACGTTCAAAGTCGATATATATATATATATATATATACATATTATGTTGGAGTTGTAGTTGAGATTCATCATTTCTACTGATTTCCCACAAATATGTTTAGCCTGTGGATATCTATCATGGCTGCTAAGACCTTGGGATCCGAGCATTGCATTTGCGGCAATACTTGTGCTCCTTGGTTTGTACCCCCCACTTGGCCTCTCGGTTAGCCCGTTCCTAGGTACTTGGTTAGTCCCCTGTGAACCCCCCTGTTAGGGTTGCTGACCATTCCATTACGCGATCCCAGACGAGGGCTCCGGCTTGAGATTGAACTGGGAATTCTCTTAGCCTCAAGGAATCAAAGGGCACGAGCCCCCAAGGACCCTGCTGGTTGCAGTTGCAATGATTCTTTCTGGGGCCGTCAAAACAAGCTGAAACAAGACATTCCGGTTTCTTTTTGGTTTCCCTTTGGTTTCCCTTTGCTTTCCCTTTGGTTTCCCTCTGGCTGGAATGTGTCCCTTCGGCTTCCCTCCCAAGCACCCTTCCAGCGCACGTCGATCCGTCCATAGGAGGCGCTGTGCGTCGGCGCCCCGCCAAAGACCATGACCAAAAAGGCGATGTATGGAGCGGACCAGCTTCTGTCGGTTTGTTGGGGAGAACTCCCTTTGGGTTTTGGGGACGTAGGAGATTGATCAGCCATTTTGGAGGTCCGCTAGTTTTGGGACAAAGGAATTGGCGGAAGGTCAGGGACAGGGCACGTAATTGTATTTCCCCTTTGTGGTGGCATACACGTCAGCTTTCATGTGCCAATTTAAGTTGGGTAGAGTCAGGGGTCGCAAACTATATATATATATATATGGGAGTCGTTCTAAAGGTCCTTGTAAGGAGTTTAGTATTCGGTGACCAACGGACTTTTTTTCTCGCGAAAGTTTTGCGTAACTGTGTTTTGTAAATCAATGATATGTGAAACCATTCATCTTTGCTGCTGAGCCTTCCTTCTGCGCTGATTACAACACTTTGTTGATTTTGCGCCGAAAAAGCCTGGTGAGGCTACAGTTTGATACCCTGCTTGGCTGGTTAGTGCCCCAAGCCTGTGTATGTGTGCCTGTGGGTGTTTACTCGGCGCCTTTCCGCTCTGAAACGTGGGTGGTTTTTCGCGAAAGTTCCGTGAAAGATCCGCGAAAGCCCCCGCGAAAGCGGCTTCGATTGTAAGGGGGAGGTACTTTCTGAGCGCCGCGCTTGTCAGTATACCAGCTTGGTACTGGAAAGTTGCGACTTTAAGCTGGAGCTGCACGGCTTACGAAAAGCTGCGTCTCTCCAGCCCGTGCATGTCATGTACTACCCCTGTGATGAAAGTTGCGACTTTACAGCGGGAGTTGGGGAATCGAATGTCGCGCACTACGCTGGCACTTAAAATCAGCAATTTTCTGACTTGAGCAAGGAAAAGGGCACGGCGATGAATCCGCGAACGATTCGCGAAAGTAACTTTTCTATTCGCGAAGAATGGCCGTTTCGAGACAAAGGAATTTAGAACAACCACCATATATAAACAATACCTAGGATACTATTTCCTGGAAAGACAGACTTGGAGCAACAAGAGCTGGTGAATCACTTTTCTACTCAACCTGGTTCTGACAAGAAAAGCTTGTTTTGCAAATCTAGACATGTAAAGAAAGCAAGCAATAACATCTTAATTTAATCTTAATGTTAAGCACGAACACCGCAAAGATCCGTTTGCATCAGGTTGTTGTTGCAAGTCTTCGCATCAGGTTTGAGCAAAGGTGTGCAGGCTTGCAGTCCGGTACATGTATGCTGCCGAAGCCAATTAGTCTTCGACAAACGTCAATTCCAGTTCCATGACACAGTGCCAAAATGTAGATAAGAAACCCCGGATATTCCAGAAACTGGACCGAGGGAAAAGCGTGCAGCCAGAGATTGAGGTTTCACAATTGCTGCAGAAAGATTTCTCCAGAATTCTTGACTCCAGACACAAAGGATATTCAACATTCAAGCTTGCCCAGGCAAATGTTCGTGAAAAGTCTTGGATCCTCGACTGGCCACCTGAAATCTTAAGTACTGTGTTCAAAATCCAGAATGCAGTATTCAGGTCCTTGCGAGACTGGTACATCTTGGATCCTTGACTTCTAGATTTGTTGTTCACAATTTAAAACGCAGCCATCCAGATCCTGGAACTCCTTAAAATGCCGGGCCGCACTCCGATCTAGCCACAGATTAGTCTCTTGGATCCCCACAGGACCCACCAAAACCTGCAGCTGTGTCGGAGGAGACATGGTAAGTTTGAAAGATTTGCCCCGGTTGGATCGCTGCGTGAAAAGAACACGCAAGTCTTGTATGTTCTAAGGTGCATGGCATGCTCGAGTCACCGTGAGTTGAATGAAATGGTATGATACATTCTCAATTGCGCATGCTGATGCTGTTGCGCAAATTATCGCACGTTAATTTGGGTTCACCCATGATGAAGACCCTTGGCCCTTGACTAGGAAATTCAGCTTCGGAATCACAACAGCATTGCGCAGATTGCTGATTTGTCCAAATGATCTGATTTCATGATGTCTCCAACTAAATGGCTGGAACGTTGCATAACTAGACACTGCTGTCTTTATTTGCCAATGCTATTTACTGCGCATTCACAGCTGCCTATTCGGGAGCTTCAGCTCACAACCGCCGTGCCGGGTGCTTTGAACATCTCGGAGCTCTGTTTGTGTGGAGCTGAGCTGCGCAATACTTAGCACACAAATGATTTATCTTGGCAGAAGGAGCAAGAGGCAACAGGCCATTAATTATTCATTAAACGATGGTACACCGTCATCTTGGATTGGCCCAATCACAATAAGTTGTGGCTATGGACCGCTATGGAAGATATCTCAGCCCCAAGGATGTTAAAGGCCGTTCCGCATCAAGGTTAGGTTGGGATCATCGCACTGGGGAGAGCTCGCACGGGTCGCAAATAGGGGCGCTTTTTGCGACGGCTTGTAAAGAGAAAGCCAAACGGATGCCAGCCGCTTAAGGGAGGGTTGTTGTTTTTGATACGTTCTCACACAATACCGCATTCAATTCCTTCAGGCAAACTTGTCAGGACGATTGCATTTTTCTAATATGAGCATGAACATGTGCAGTGGGTGCAGTGACGGCTACAATTTGCTTGCTTAGGGGCTTTCTTTTGCTTCACAGTCCGAAAGTGTTGGTTCCCATTTTTGCCCCAATTTGGAGAAGTTAAGTAGGGCAAGAAGGACTAAACAAAACAGATAAACCCCAACAGGCTTCTTGCACAAAGTGAGCAACACCTTTGGGGCAAGTGCAGCCTGGATGGCAGCGCGGCACCTATGCGCGTGAAAGATGCGAGGAGCCCCAGGGTCTGGGGTATCCAGACCAAGATACTTCCACTGCTAAGAGGATACATACATGAATACGTATGTGTATATATATATATATATAAGTAGCTTCTCTCATGACCACCGTGTTTACCTGAAATCTATCCCAGCTTTTAGGTGTGCCGTTTGGGTGTAGGACGGCAACGTCCCCGTTTCGTCCCGAAGGACGCAAAGCCGGCACTTATCGGGCAATGGGCCTACCATGGAGAAAGCCTGTGGGATAGTCCTTGAGTGGGTGAATGTTTCCCACGAGAGTCGAGATACCAAACCCGCACTGAGCATCTGGACAACCATGTGTGAGTCAAAGGGTCTGGGCAGAACCCGTGGAAATTGCCAGGTTGTTCGTTTTGTGCTACCGGAAAACAACATGCTCGAATGTAAAACTTTGGTATCCCAGTATCACCGAAGTAAGAACCAAGCAGCCACTTTCTCACAATCCTGCTGAGTATGGGATTTGCTGTTTTGGTGGTTTGCCTTTCTTCCTAACCACTGGTATGTCAGCATCAAACATGAACAGATGATACATGGTAAAGACTAACAAAAAGAAGCCCCCCCCCGCCCCCGGCCCAAAGAGGGGTCGCCCGGAAATGCCCCTGCCATTGTGCAATCATCTGTCTTTAAGCTCAATTATCCAACCAACAAGCGTGACTCTGCTCACAAGCGAAACCGTTGCAATAGTGTGTAGCTTGAGAGGTTGAGCTGGGCATTTGTTTTTCACCGGATTCTACTGTACATCTGGGGAAATCGATCCTTGCCCGATTTTTGTTCGAACGTGTCTCCTCAATATGTGTATGTTGTGTGTTTTAGTTGAATTTAGTGGAGGCTGCAAAGAACATGCAATGATTTCTGACAGGCATTGGGAAGTGCCCCTTGCCTTTGTCCTAAAGTGCTCGTGAATTTGTTCTGGGCGTGTCCAAAAGGAGAGATTTGAGGCCTTGTTTGTTCGTTTAAATTCACGAAATTTACGGCCGTTGCGTGTGAGATCTCCTGCATTCTTGACTCCAGGTTTTTGCAACCCAAAGTAAGTTCTATTCAAAGAGCGTATTGCCTCCCGAAAAATGGACATGGCTTCTGGGTATGCATGTTCAAGCTGGTGCCAGGTGCCAGATCTTCAGGACACTCTTGGCCGTTTTGCCTTGACGTCCCTGGCTCTGAGGCTGGAGGTCGGCCAGGAGGTACTGGCGCCCGACAAGGCCAGACGCTGTGGGTTTGGCTCGAAAGGTGACCCATTCTTCTTGGAATCCTGCGATCTTTGTGGGGGAACATTAGCTTAATCCACCAGGTTCAGTAAGCCAGGGTCGACATTGCCCATGTTAAACATGCGTTGTTGTTTTCTGTGCGAGGGGAATCCCCTTCAAAGCGGCGAAGTCATGGGGATGAGTTCTCCCGAAGGATCATGTGCTGCACCTGGGCACCTTGGAGGACCAGAAAACGCAGGTGGCCCCAGCGAAGTCGAGACCTAAATGAAACCAATGAACCGCAGGTTTTGGTCCATTCCACCAGGGTTCCATGTTGGGGTTACCCTATTTTTGACCGGCCATATAAACCTTCAGGTAAAAGAGAGGGTGGGTCTTTTCGTTCTTGTCCGGAGTTGCCTCTGGTCTTTTTCTTGGGCGAGAAGGGCAGACAAAGTTCTTTACCTTGGGCAAAGCCAGGGCGGCAAGCCCTAAGTTTCCCATGTTCTTTTGGATCTTTGTGGGGAAAAACATACTTTCGACTGTGGTGACAGCAGAAACATGACGAACCGCGGAGTGGTGAGGCAACCGACTGGCAACTATTGCGGAAGCAGCTTTTCTGTTGGCAACGCTACCCCAGATGAATTTGCCCCACTCTATATCAGAGCGTGTCATCCCCGAAACTGGACCAGGCTTGTCTTGAAAATGCTCAAATGTTTGCTCCCACAACATCGCTATAGTTGGTAGTACCAGTAGAGGTGCGAAGAGCCCTGGCAGAGGAAGCCACGAATGAGCGCCACATAGCGTCACGGACTCGTTAGCGCCCTGAAAGCCCTGGACACAAAGTGAGGAAAAGCTTTGATCTCATGTTCTAGAAGGCGACTTTCAAGATTGGGCAGTACTGAATTCCTTTTAATAGTTAAAATGTTTCCTGCTCAGCGCTGTGCCAGAGCCAAGTTCGTTCCAGCTTACCAGTGCTTTCAGTTGCTCAGGGTGCCACTTGAGCGCAACGCATTCCACGGTCATGAGTCATGGTCATAT